CCAGGTAGTAGGTGATGTTGCCGTTGCGCTGCGTGGGCGGCTTCCAGCGCACCACGATGTGCGAGGACGAGTTGGACATGGAGATGACGTCCCGGGGCACCGTTGGCGCTGGACACGCACGAGGACATCAGCCCGGAGAGCCCCTGTCCCTCCCACGGGCCCTCCTTTCCCCCCGGCACGGCGCCCACCTGCCGGCATCGTGCGGATGTACACCACCTCGCTCTGCCCCGTAGTTGCGCCCTTCCTCAGCCGTGGTGAGGGTGATGGCGCGCACGAAGATGGCGTATTGGGTCCAGGGACGCAGGTTGAGCAGGGCCACCCCGGGCTCCTGCTCGGTGTTGAGGGGCAGCTCCACGTCCAACACATTCCAGCTGTGGGCCCCGCAGGCATCCTGCCCCACGTACTCCGACACGTTCTGGAAGGGCCTGGCCCCGGGCATCAAGGACCGCGCGGTAGCCCCGGCGCCCGCCCGCCCCGTGGGAACCGTCCCCATGTCCCCACCAGCCTTGGGAGGGTTGCAGCGTGCTCTGGGGGACGCTCCGCACTCAAGGGGGACAAGCGAGCGGGGCAGGGGGGACCCACTTACGACTCCTTGTAGTAGACGATGAAGCTGAGGAGGTCCCGGTACTCGGGGGGCCGGTAGCGCTCCCACTTGAGGAAGATGCGGTCGGACTCGGTGACGTTGGAGATGAAGCGGAGGGTCTGGGTCTTGCCTGCCGAGGGGCACAGGGCTCGGATGGGGGTCGCAGGGGGGCCACCCCAGCGCCCACCGCCCGTGGCCACCCCAGCGCCCACCACCTGCACTCACAGGACGCCCGGTCGCCGTTGGTGCGGGGGTTGATCTCAGCCTTGTTCTGCCGCCCCTTGGTGCCCGTGACCTCCTCCATGCGGTAGATCTCGGCCAGGCAGAGCTTGGGGTTGAAGGCAAAGTACATCTTGCCCACGGGGATGGAGAGGATGTGGTGGCTCCAGTCCCAGAGCTGTTGCAGGTTCTGGTTGTCCAGGACGTACAGGGTGTAATTCCTGGAGGAGGTGAATCCAGAGGCGTTGGCAGGGATGTCTCCAAAGCCACGTCCCAGCCTCCTGCCCGGGCCTTGTCCGCCCGTCCTCACCCGTCCACCATGGAGTCACCGCGGATCAGCTTGAGGTTCTTGAAGAAGGACAAGGAGACGAGGGCGAAGGAGTGCTTGATCTTCAGGAAGCCCGTGATGGTCTCGATGAGGCCCAGGCTGCTCTGCAGCTCCGAGGCCAGGTTATCTGGGGATACCCAAGGCGCTGAGCACGGCATGGGCAGCGGCGCTGGCTTTGCATGACCCTGGTTCACCCGTCAGCACTCGGGATCCCGCAGGGCCCCGGCATCCAGTAACACCCATCCATGGATCCGCCCTCCAGAGCCACCAGCGCTGCCATCGCCACGCCG